TTTCTTCGCCGTGCCACTGCCAAACTAGTAGGCTGTGTTAAAGCGGCATCGACAGTGTCTGTCGGGCTCGGGAGGTGGGAGCCACTGCCATCACCGCTTTAACCCAGACGCATCTACTAGTTTGGCAGCAGCACGGCCGCAAAGAGCCCGGAGGTGGCGCACACAGCCGTCTCTCCTTCCATGCAGGCTGGAAAGGGCAGCACGGGGGTCGGTGATTGGCCCATTTGTGGACATGGGCCCTCGAACAGTGCCGGAGTTCCCCGAATAGTCAGTCTACACCTGGGTCAAATTCACCTGTCAGTGAATTCTAAATGATCCGAGACGTGTTTCAAACTGGTGCCATTGACAAAAGCCCAAACCTGTCAATGCCTTTAGTTGTACACTGCGGAAGATTACTTTGCTGTCGTCTGGGCAATTATGACACCTAGTGGTGAATTTGGAAATTACTTGTTTAAATGTAACATAAACACAACATGGCACCCAGTTATAGATGCATCCCATTATTTGCATGGGCTAGCAGTGTGATGTATTAGAGAGGTAGGGCACAAACACATCAAGTTGCATATTTTTTGTTCTCTTGATGGTTTAAAGCAGACCTAAAGTAAAATAACCCAATCCCTCCCTCCCCCCCCCTTTCCATCTTTCCCATCACCCCATTTCTGTATGTGTAATTTTTGGGCTAATTAGTGGGCAGCAGCAGTGCATTGCAAGCATCTAACAGTGCCTGTCCAGATCTTTGGTTGCCCTAAATCATGTGGCATTTTATCTTGCATTTTTTTTTAAACTTCCTGATTGTATTGAGAGCCTTTCCATCTCCTACCATGTATTCCAGTAGGGCTGCTCATAATAGCGATAAACAGCACCTCAAATATAGTATCTACACATATAAAATGCTGCTACAAGATCTCAGAGCAGCCCGTTCATGACCATAAGACTTGGGTGACCTGGAGCATTGGAAATTAAATTGACTGATCTTTCCCGTGACTCAAGATCACATGACCATATACCTAGACATTTTGTCACGTGAGATGCCACAACACGGGAAAGCAGCTCAGAGATTCATTTAGCATCTTTATTGTGAATGAAAGCAAGGTGGTCAAGAAGCAAGGGCACAGGTTCACTTTATGGTCACTTTCACTGTTAATTACTGTAACAAGTGTCATCAGAGCGCTGTAGGCAACCTCTGTTAGTAATAGCAGAACCTTCCTTTTTTTTTGTTATATCTAGTAAATATCTCACAATCACATCTGGAGATCAGAGGAAACTGTATGAAGAAGATTTTGCTTCTGATTATACAGAATACCTCAAGCTGCACGCCAAGATTGGAAAGGTGCTGGAGAGATTCATGCAGCTTGGATCGAGATTGAAGAAGTATCAGCAAGGAACAGAAGCGCACAAGGTAGTTCATACAGAATTGCTAAGTTTACGATTAGATTTGACCACACGCTGTAGACACTTTTACATCTAAGGCCTTGTTCACACCAAATGCAGACCAGATCCGGTCAGGTTTCTGCACACGCAGTGTAGTGGGTTGTGCCGCGTTTTAGACGCGTTTTGGATGCGTTTAGGGCCGGTTTTGGTTAAGTTCAACATGGACTTTCAGGCACTTGCATGCGTTTTTGATGCGTTTTTGCGTTTTTGATGCGTTTTTGATGCGTTCCAGAGCAGGTAAAATAGGACTTGCCGCATTTTTTTCATCCGGTCTGGATCTGGTCTGGATCCGCACGCTGCGATGTGAACTGGAGGTCAAAATACCATAGGAATACATTGGACACAGTTTTGATCCGGTCTGCACCTGCTCTGGTCCGGATCTGCTCTGCGCTTGGTGTGAACAAGCCGGAATATATCAAGAATTTATGCTCATTATGCTTGTATTGGGTGTTCAGACTTTACATTTTACCTGCCATAACCTACTAAAAAGCTGGTGACTGCACCTTCCAGCAGTGCTGCTATCATAACACAGTAGCTCCTTTTAAAGTGTATGTTTAGCCAAAACATTTTATTTTTTATTTCTGGGTTAAGGGTTAAAACCTTTCATAGGTGAGGAGGTGGGTGGGATTTTACTTTTAAATTGCTCTTGCAATAAAAACTGAATCCGACATAATAAGGTTATTTCCTAAATAAGGGGATGATGTAGGATGGGGCATTAGGCTCCCTGTACTGTACTCTGGCGAGGGATTGGGAAATAATCTTGGATTCAATTATGAATAAATCAGTTTTGATTTATTTTGTTTTTGATAGAATGAGAAGGGGTCTGTGCCCCGCTTATGAGATTTGCCCTTCCATCCCCTCCATGTGACAGGAGGTCATAAGGACAGGAAGTAATGAGAATTTTAACATAGGAGAAGGTGACACCATCTTGGTGGTTATTGCGTTCTGTGACTTCCTGTCCTGCTCACCTTTATCTTTCTCTTACTGGCTACTGCTCCTTGCCATTTATTATATGAGATATTTGCTTACAATGAAAGGTACCTGTTAAGGTGCCCATACACCTTCCGAATATTGGCCGATTTTCATTTGAAATTGCGTTTTCGTCCGATATTCGTAAGGTTGATGGGCACTGTACAATCGTACAACTTTTCACTTTCCAGCAGGTTAAAAAACTTCGATCGTACGATTTTTCGCAAGGTTGGTGGCGTTTCCGTACGTCAAAATTCGTACGTGTAACACTGCTCATGTGCAAACGAAAATACGTGCGGTTGATTAACGCAATTCGTCCAGGTGTTTTTTTTTTTTAACTACCGCTAATTGAACCTTGTGATGATCGGGGCCGCCGTACAAAAATCGTACAACGGTTCGATCTTTGGACAAAAAGTTTCGTCCGCTGATCGCAAGGTGTATGGGCAGCTTTAAGGTGCCCACACACCTTACGATAATCGCGGGAAATCCTGCAATCGTACGATTATCGTAAGGTGTGTGGGAGCCGTGCGACCTCTGCTAGTGTAAGGTCGCACGACTTTTATCTTAGGAACATGTTCGAAACCCCGCCGAGAATCGTACGATTTTCGGCTGGTGTGTGGCATGTTGCGATCATCGCAAGTACGATCTGCCTGTCCAAGATGGGCAGATCGTACGTTTTTTAAATTACCTTACAACCATCGCAAGACAAAAGTCTTGCGATGGTTGTAAGGTGTGTGCCCAGCATTAGGTGCAAGATTACTAATTGTCAATTAAACTCACATCTGAGAAAAAACATGCACGTGAATGATGAATGCAGAGATAATTGGTGGTTTCCATGGACTTTCTGAACTCTTTAGTGATTGAAGTCCAGAATTCTTTATAAGTACGGCCAATGTTTCAGTCTTAATGAAAGCCGGCCTTAAGTGCGTTTCCTCAATTTTTTTATTTGGTCTTTTAGATGGTGGAGAACAAGATTCTTTCTGAATACAAGAAGTTTAAAAAGGTAAGAGATCTCTGGACAGGTTTTTAGGTTTTGGGTTAGATTAAAATAACAGACCACAATAAATGTATTTGGGTAAATAGAATATTACAGAACATCCAGACTATTTGGAGCCTCAGATCAGGCCCCTAAAAAAAAAAAAAAAAGTGAACAGTACTTAAAGGAAACCTTTCAGGAGAGCAATATGGACACTGCCATTGTTCTCCTGAAAATGTGAGTTGCTTGGTTGTGATGCTGACCTCTGTCTTCAATACTTGGAGTCTGTGATCCAGAACAAGTAAGTAAATAAGGCTTCTGATAAACGTTTGATCTGCATACTTGGGTCAGCATAACTGGTAAGAGACTTTCATTCCCAGGACAGGAAATCAGCAATTGTACTTTAAAGAAGTATTGGGAGAGTAAAATGTACTGTTCCCAATACTTTGAGCTGGTGTGTGACACTTCAGATGTCACAAGTCGGCTTTATATATTGAGAACTGAGTGATCACAAACCACTGATCACTCAGCTCACACTCATCTCCATGCAGAGAGAGGTGACTGCCAGTCATTGGCCCCCCTCAGGGATTCTCTCTCCCCTCTTGTTCCTCCAGCCCTCATTGGAGGGGCAGAGAGGGAAGGGACTGGGTAAAGCTTGCTCTGGCTCTAGAGTTGGCAGAACCAGCTGTCAATCAGGCAGCGGGATGGATCCCAACAATATTGCCAGGGTCTTTCCCGGCTGCAGCGCAGCTCTGTGCTGTCAGCATATAGCAGGTAGCAGCCCGCTAGATGCTGATTTTGGGTCACAGGAGTATAACAGTAAATGTAGTCCTTTGACCCGAAGAGGACTAAAGCCAAAAAAAGGGGTTTGTCTTTGGTTCTCTTTTAATGACAGGTATACTTTACAAACCAACTCCAATCAAAAGTTAGGATTTGTGTTTATTGTTGCCTTTCTTACTGTTGGGGAGACTTCCCTTCACTTTCTGTTCTGGTGACCACACAGGAAGTGTGGAGAATCCCCAACAGGGGAACGTACAACCATAATAAAAAATCCTTGGCCCAGTCTACTAAAAAGTGCTCCTTTTGCTGTCTGCATGCTGACAATAGAGATTTGTGCTTACTTCCTGTCTTGGTCAACACAAGGAAAGTGGGAGAAAACGGGGACACAGAGAAATAAAACCCTCACAGTACATACTACAGGCTGCTGTATATCTTCATTATTTAGATCATGGCAGCAGATAAAAGCTCTACATGTGAATAGGGAGGATTTACAGGCGCCTGCAGTAAGGATCATCCTTCTAATGTAGTGTGAGGAATGTGGGCTGTGGATGGACCTGACCTGAGGCAGAGACAATAAAGCGCTCCATTCACAGATGTTCACTACAGCACAAAGACTTGATGGTAAATAATAATTAGATGGCTGTGTCTGGCTCCAATAATTTCAGTCAAGCATGCAGCAAATGACAGAGTAACCAGAATTGGTGCAGGTCAGTGACAAAGAAATCAGTATGGCAGCCAGGCAACTAACATTTTCAGAATAAGAGGTCAGCAGTGACTTGTTTCCTTTAAATTCTAAGCTCACCTTTTCTGACCAGGTCTCATTTTCCACTTGCTGTATATTTAGGGTGTGATATAAAACTTGCTCGGATTGCAACCCCACCACACTTGTAGTCCACTCATACTTCCTCCCTGGAGGAAGAATCTGCAGGAGCCAGAGCATTGCACCCGCTATCCACTGATGGTGGCTCCAGTGCAAAGAAGTGTGCATCCATTATGTTTGTGAAAAGGTGAAATAATTTCCCTTTAAGTTTGAACTCCAGGCAAACAGCTAAATACACAGATGAAATACATATATATGAGAGTTGTTTTACCTGCCAAAGGATTTATATTTCTGTCAGTCCAGTCCTGAGTTTTGCACAACTCTGCTACACAGCACAACCCTGGTCTGTTAGGGGATTAGACTTGATTTGTCATCAAGTGAAACGAGACGCAGCAGACCAATGAGCTCATCTGTCACTCTGCTCTCTCCTTCTATCACCATGTTCCATATGTTAACATATGAGTACTGCAGCTTGACTGGCTGGCTTTTTGTGCTGCTTCTTCCTGCCCCGTCTGAGCCCTGCTGTACAGGGACTGTAAGAGGCTGATACCAGGTTAGATTCAGGTACTTAACTGCTTTTTAAAAAAAAAAAATTTAATAATGTGTTCTTAAATATAGAGCTTGCACTCCGGGCAAATACAACATTTAACTTTGCAGTAGGCCTCACTGCAAGGGTAATTTTACTTACCTGGTGTTCTTTATTATGTGTCTTTTATACAGTTCAGCTTCAATCAGCCTCTTTTTTTTTTTTCTTTCCCCCCCCCACTTGTAGACATATCCTACATACAGCGAAGAGAAGTCACGCTGCGAATACTTACATGCTAAATTATCTCACATCAAAAAGCAGATTCTGGAATATGAAAAAAATACCCCGACCTAGCCAGTGTGCTCGGGCCAGGCAATCCACTCCGCACAGACCTCAGCAACACTCCGCGAGATACCACAAGCCTTGAAGGAAAACCAAGTTTTCAACAACTGTGAAGAAAACAAAGTGCCATCAGAATCCTGTGCGATACGCATACAATGCAGAGGAAACGCCTTGATCCGGAACATTCCAAAAGCATCGGTTACTGCCTTAAAAAGGACCTTTACACGGGTTATACTGTATAGAAAAACGTTAGATCTACAGCTCACATGGTGGATGGGCGGAGCCCAGAACACCAGATTATTTATATCACATATACATTGCCGTGTGATACAACACGCCAATGTGTTTATCGGAACTTTCCGGCTACAGTAGTACAGAAGAAATGTGATTGTTTAGCTAAAGAACGGATTTCAGCGCAATGCCAATAAAGACAAAGGATTCTGTGATGTACATTGTGTACATAGGAGCCGAGGCGGTTTGTTTCCTTGTCTAACCAGTTGTGAACCCATCCAATGGACAGGCCTTTCTATTTCCTGGTTTTAGCTGAAGACAATCATCTGTTATAGCAACCAACCTGAGCTATCCAATAATAAAAATCTTTGCGTCAAGGTGGTGTTGTGTGTCACTCGGGGCTCCTGACAATAAAGGGGCAGTCTGTAAAGTGGGGTATACACAGGGAGAATCATGTATGGATAAGGAAAATCTGCTTCAAACATTCAATGACAGACTTGACAAATGTCATTGGAAACTTTCTTACATTAGTTAAGACATATTTTTATTTTACTTACAATTATTGTTTTTCCACTTCCTGGTCCTCTTGGGAATTGGTGATGTAATGTGCCCATGCATTGCATCCTGAGAAGGTTACATCAGCAGAGCATTGCTGGGAAATATCATGAGGTCTCAGGGAAAGGCATTTTCCTCCCCCAAGATGGTGCATGGTCACATGACCTAGTCGCATGTGCCAGAGTTCCAGGAGGTAAATGGAGAGATCTTAATGTGCCTGTGTATTTGTTGTCCATTTAAAGAGGGTAAAGTGTCTATTTAAACCTTGCAAAGGGGGGGGGGGTTAATCGAATGAGCATTCTAAAAAAATCAAATTTTATCAAGAGCAATTCTAATGGTGTGTATCCCAACTTAATTCAGGAGAGAATGAGTTCTGCCGAGCTGTATGTGCTGTAATCTGCCGTCACCTACACCAGTGGAAGGCAGACTTCAGTCCTCCAGCTGTGGTGCAACTACAAATCCCAGTCGGCATTGCAAGACTCCAACAGCCAGAGGCAGATGCATGATGTACTACACCACAGCAGGAATGCCGTTGTTTGCCTGTCCTTGACCTAGTACTTTACCTGTTCTAATTCAACTAGAACATCAGTACCTGGAATGGGGCAAATTTGTATTTGGTCCTGAATTGAAGTGTATGCAAACCTAACAATGCTCCCTTTTCGGTCTGTTAAATACACCATTGAAAGCATTTTGTTCTCTCCCAGAAGTACAAAAATATTACCATCTTGTGATTCGATCATTTCCTGTTCATAGATTTCAGCTCATTTCCTGTTCATAGATTTCAGCTATGTCTGCAGACTACAGAACCCCTGCCTATTATGGAGAGGCGAAAGGTGCCCTATAGTCCTAGCATATTCCCTGTCATATGGTGACCATGGTATTCTTTCACAGATACAGTGCTGTATGTGACCATTATAACCCCAGGACAGGAAGTGTGTTACTGCTGGGATTCCATAGAGGTCGAAGGGAAAAAAAACGAATGCAGTTCGGTAACTTCAGTAAGCTGCAATGTATTACACATTTGTTCTTGGGTTTAGCTACGCTTTATGGGCTCCATAGACTGCTTGACGCCTGTTGAATTGGCCTAATTCAAGCCCTAGGTGAACCTGCAAGCACCACATGACTAAAGGCCAAGTTAACTGTGTGAGCCCAACAAAAAAGCTGGCCGGCATCCCATCAGATGCAATCACTGTTCAGCAGCGCCTTGGCATTGAAGCAGCCACAGGTGCCATGGCAGCTTGAATAGAATAACTGGCAGAGGAGATTCCGCCATCAATGCTGAGCGTGTGGATGGGGCAATCAACTGGTTATCTGTCAGTCCATGGACTGGACAAGAAATGGGGCCATGTATGGCTATCAGTATGCTAGGGGGCTACACGGTGATTTGAATGTTGGCATTCATTTACACTAGCTGCATTCTAAAATGATCAGTTTTAAATCACGGGTTAGTGTTACCAGCAGTGAGGGCGGTGCCCTACATTCTTACAAAGCAAGGCACGGTGTATTTTTAACTTTTCTTTGTATGAAAGCTGTTGTAATGTCAGTGACATTTCCCGTTTTAAAACAAAAACAGTGACAGGACATGAGCTCAAGTGCATTGCAAACAAAATGCCCAATTCAGGATAAAAACCAAACACCCTCCAATAGCTGGGCAAAAAAAAAAAGTCCTTTTCCCCACTTACCTTAAGCCATGATCACATGATCGTTCCAGCCTTGGGTTCCTCTGTACAGCCTGCTAGGGTGCTTCCAGGTATCCACATCACTATCTGCATGACATTGATAATTCCCATTACCAGTCCACCAGCGGGCTCATTTGAGGAACCAGAAACCTACTGGATGCCAACCCGAGGGAAGTAAAGGGAACCAGCCAGTGAGGATTACGCTGTGGCACAGGATTAGTGGCCCCGTGATGTAGCACATGATACCTTTTGTTATAGAAGTTTATGGAATTTATTCACCCAGTGTTTCTCAATTTGCAGCTCTGTGGTTGTAATAAGGGGATCCATCTTACTGCATAGCAGATCATTTTGGGACGACCATTCGCTCTGTAAAGCTGTAAGAAATGATTTGTGCTAGTAGTCACTGTTGGAGAAACTGATGAGAAATATGTAGGCACGCTGCCGACCATCATCTAAAAATTCTAGCTCCTTGGTGGTCATGGTGTTCTGGGTCAGTGCCTCAAAGCACTCAGAAACTAGATCAAAATATACAGATCAGTCCTGACACTTGCTGCATTACTAGTCCCAGGTCTATGATGAACCTACTGAAGCATAGCCATAGGTGCATCATACTGTAGCAGATTAAGCTGCTCCAGCCCCAAAACTGGCCAGCAGCCTCCCCCCAAGATCAATACAATCATGTATTTCCACTTTTGTGATGAAACGGGGACAAACTGTGGCAGACTGAGATGCCTTTCATTAATATACAATCCTAGTCTTTTAACCCTTTGTTAGGACAGCGTCAACTGTAGACAAACCCCTCCGACGCTAGTAGCATCTCCTTTAAGTAATGTTCACAGGCGTGCTGCTCCTCTAATGGATCAGGAAAAGTGAAAACCTAAAAACAACTGTACAAATCTAACTTGCAACAGGGAATGAGATCTGCCAGCACAGTAGTGTTCTTTAGAGTAAACGACTTTCCCACAGCTCCCTGCTTAACATTGCGTAGCGGGGGAAACTTAGGAAGTTAATGAAAGCAAAAAGCACCTAAAATGTTTTCAGCTTACATTTAAGTTACGCAACGCAAGTGGGAACATTTTACAAAAGATAAGTGTAATCCCAATTTGGCTGCAAAAGCCAATACTTAAAGTTAAGTGTTCCAAAATTCTACTTCTTGTATTTCCACATCCAATAGACTTGGGTTTGCCAGTGTGTGTACACACACACACACAAAATGTAAAACACAAATAGGCAGACACAAAGGTATGGGGGTGTTTATTTTCAAATTTCTTTCAAATGTACAAAAAAATAAAATAAAAAATTAACGAAAACCAATACCATCAAATTGTAGAACCCCCCAAACCCTATCCCTCCCAACATAGATGGAAAAGTGGTGACCCCCTCAACAAGCCACAAATATTTGTAAGGTCCTTGGATGTTTCCAACAGTGCATCTAAGAAATCTCTAATCAACCGCCATGTTCCCTTCAGGAAGGCAAGTGTGCTTCAGTGTCCACACACTGTTTTCCCAGTAGATCCCAGTAATGTCAAGATGACAGCCCCACCCTGGAAAAAAAAAAATTGCCAATTTGAGCACTTAATCTCATTTACAACTCTTCTTTCTTCTTCTTCTTGGGTTTTTCATCTTCTGTCACAATTGGTGGATTGGTAGCTTCCTTCTTCAAGTAGCTAAGGAAGTCGCTGACCTCTCTGCCACCCTGAAAAAACAAACAATGGTTCAATATCTAGGAACGGAAAACAAAGGCTTCCAAACACTATTAGACATACTAGAAGATATGGGCCAACTCTTCTCCATTAGTAAATGTGCCAAGTACCCGGTGCTACAATCCAAGGGTTAAAACAAGCCGACGGCCACAAAAGTTTGTTCTGGTAGCATCTGGTTGACACGTTTAGAAGCGATTTGAGTCACCAGACTAATACCATCACTTCTACTTCCGCATTCAGGCCTAGAGTTGCCTCATCCCATGATCTAGAACAAGGGAACATGCTTGGCTTACCTCATATCTCTTTGGACTTAGCTTGCTTCCAGCTGGTGAAAAGTAGATAGTTGGGAACCTAGACAAAAGGAAATGCCAATAAAGTGGTGAAAAGTAAATCCCAATAAAACGCCAAATCATGCCAACTTCTGAGGAGGTATTTCAGCAGTATGAACATTGACATTTGTAGAGCACCATATTCACAAAGGTTTGTTCAGAGATTGAGATATTACACCCATAAGCCTTAGTGCAGCATAAGCTCCCAACATGGGACACGATCTGCTGAGTAAAACAAACAGGTGGATGACAGAGCCTTTCAACAGGAAATCAAAGTGAACACTTTCTATACTCAACCTATAGGCTGTGTACTAGAAAAAGGGCAATACGTCCATGTTACACCCCAAATATGGTGTAACATGAAGTTGTCACAAAGGTAAACTTAACCTTTAACCCTTTCGCTGCCAAGCCCTCCGGAACATTTTTCATACAGTTCTAATTTCTTCCACACATTTTCCACAAGTCAGAATGGTTTTATCTGCTATAGAACAACATTTGTACAATTTTTCTTTTTATACAGCAATACGTTTACAATCCCCTCTGCCTTTTACAGGAAACCCAACACAAACACCAGGCTAGTGTACTTACCCTCTAACTTCATACTGAGGAGGCACATCATTGGCTGTGGCATCCATCTTGGCAATAATGATGTTTGGATCACTAGCCAGCTGTAGAAATAAATAAGTTTTTTATTTTTTTAAGAGATCTGCAATCACCTAACAAACATGACAGCAAGCCACTGACCTAGAATAAGCTATTGTTTGTGCAGTGAAAAGTGTATCCTACCTTCTCTCCGAGTTCCTTGTATTTGGGCTCCAGGTTCTTACAGTGTCCACACCAAGGAGCGTAGAACTCAATGAGAACATCTTTGCTGTCATCATTTACAAGCTCATCGAAGTTTTCGGCCACAATCACCTGAAAAAAGAAAACTCTGCAGTGAGGAACTAAGGAAATTAAACCTTTACCTTTTTTTAATTTGAGATGGGGAGTGGGGAGGGAACAGACACTTTAAAAGTTATGATTGCCATTTGTCACCCGTTGGTGACAAAGACAAAGTGAGGAGAAATTGAAAACACTAGAGCCGAGAGGAAGAGACAAAGGGAAGTGAATTATATATCACTAGATGGAACCCAGGCGCATAGGAATTTTCCTGTGCTCCTCAGCACCATCTAGTGGTCATAATTAGCTGCAACTCTGTATTAACCCCTTCATGACTAAGGCCCTTTTTTCATTTTTTGCACCCATGTTATATTCCACATTTTAGGCCTGAAAATGACGTAAAACCCCCCAACATTATATATTTTCTGAATGCCAAGACCCTATAGAATAAAATGGTGGTAGTTGAAAATTTTTATGTTGCGCAATATTAGCGCAACTCCTTATTAAACCCCAAAATTTAGTGACAAATTTAATTCAATGCCCCAAAACACAATTACCCATTTTTTTAATGAAATATAAATGAGGTTACATCGAGTAAAACGATAACCAACATGCCCAGTTTACAGATTGCGTGCGACCGTGAAACGGCGAAAAACTGCAGTACCCCAAAAAGTCAATAAAAGACACATGTTAGAGAGCACTGCTGCCCGGCTACCATAATATGACAGTGGCATGGGGGCAGCACTCAACAAACATACACTATGTCCTACACACGAGTTTATTTGCATACAGATGGCAGGCGCAGTGGGGTTGATTTAAATTTCCATTTTATTGCATCGTTTATTTTTTCATTTTTATTTTATTTAATTTACAGCCGCTCGAGACAATTTGCTCCCACTCTACATTTAGCCCTGCTGCCTGCCTGAAGGCCTAAATGTAGAAAGAAACTACCTACCCAGTGCCCGAAACTGCATGATAGGAATTCCACACCCCAATGCATATATGTAAAGTATTCATGACCAGCTTTGTAGAACTCAGAATAAACTAACCTTCTTGGGAGATGTCCAAAAATCATTTTGGTTTACATTACTTGTTTTTTTTCTCCAAAATTGTAAAACTTGGAACACATTGTTCCCAATAGGAGTTGCATTACAAGGTCAATTTAGCATTGGGGCGGGGGAAAGCTACACTTTTAGCCATCACGGATGGAAGGTGGGTCAATAAGCTCACCAAGCACTCTGTTCCTTTCTGCACATTTATAAGCAGTGACAGATATCTGCAGTCACACATGCACCTTTGGGGATCTTTAGGAGTAAAAAGCATCCATTACCTAAAAGGGGTAGCTTTATCATCAAAAAAAAAAAAAAAAACCTTGGTTATCAAATTGTGCAAGGGGAATTACTTTTGGTTCGTCCATATAGTCATGTGTACAGATATGAACTGGTCCACCAACAGTGTTCAAATCAAGTAAAGTCAAATGCAGCGTTGAAGCTGCAGTGCTGGAAGTCTGTGCTGCAGGTATAGGGGGAATTTACTAAAACTGGAGCAGACAATCTGGAACAGCAGCGGTAAAATTTAGTATAGCTTATAACCAAAAAAGTTAAAAGGGAAAAAAACCTCAAACAAATGTTTAGCTCCTGACCTGAATGATCAGATCAAAATGCAGCGTTTAGACCTGAATAACCAATCTCTAAACCTGAGCGTGGTCACATGGCAATAGGGAAAGGTATCTGTATCTACCCTGTACATGCTCCAACCAGACAGATCTGGAGCCTACACAAAGCTTATACATGAGGGCTCTAGCAGACTGGGTGAAAAGTTCACCTTAATATTCACTCTAGCCCAAGAACTTGGGTGTCAGACTCTTCTCTGAAGGGATAAAGCTGTAGGCGATTCCTATTGTAGGCGACAGATGAAGATTTACTAACCCACTCTCCACTTGCTCAGAAAAATCCCCAGAAGCAGACAAGATGTGTTGCAGGCCAATAAGCAAAAACATTGTCACCCTTACCTTGACTGGACCATCATTGTTTTGAGGGATTGGCTCAGACTTCATGTATCTCTTTAGTTTACCATCAAAGTAATCCTGAAGGAAGCGCTCCAATGCTTTTCCATCGCGACTAAAGAGGGGGGGGGGGAATAGTAATGAAACGGATTAAGTCTTACAGGAAATGCTTACACAAC